GGGCGGTGGGGGGCGCCGTGAGCGCCGCTCCAGGTGCCCGCTGCCCGCTCCGTGCCCACGGGAAGGGCACGGAGCTCCAGAAAAGCTCCCCAAGCTGTCAGATAACGCCGGTGCCTGCTCCGAACCGGCGCGTTTCCCAGCCCCCAGCTCCAGAGGTGAAAGGCTTTGGGAAACGCTCTGCAGGACTCGGAATTTTCCATGCCCCGTCCCCGCCAAGATTCCACGGAGCCTCGAGCGCATTTGGCTCTGCAATTCCAGTGAGAAAGGGCAAACACCGAAGTGAGATTGTCCTGGGAAACACATTCCCGCCTGGACACATGGGAGGGATGAAGGTGCTGCCACCACGCGCTCGGGGGGAAAAACCCCAAAAGGCTTCGTCGTGCAGCTCTCGCGTTCCCAAATCCCGAGGAAATTCCCTCGTGGTTCATCTGTGTCCTGAGCTGCTTCCCTGGTTGTGCTTGGAGCTGCTGCCGGGTGCCAGGGGTGGGATATTCCCGGGGTGATTCACTGAAGTTTGGGATAAAAATGCTGCATGGGCATTTTGGGAGGCTGTGGAGTTACCAGGGAGTCAGGTTTGGGATTTGGATCCGGGATAAATGTGGCTCCTGGGAGGCCCGGAACAGATGGCTGCCATGGAACCTCCACCGGATAATCTGGGAGAGTTGGGAACGTGGCGGGAGGGGATGAAGTCTGTGGTGGCCGACTCCTGCGGGAATACTGGGAAACACTGGGATTGCTCGGGGATTGCTGCGGCGGGGCTGCGGCTGCCGGCGGATCCCCGGAGCAGGAGGACGGTGTCGCTCCGCTGTTTCTGCGGAATGTTGGGAATCTTTGGGCAGGGCTTTCCTCTGGAAACTCGGCGGTCCGGAGTCCCGGCGTCTGATGGCGCGGGAAACACAAAACCCCCTACGGAACGTGTGAGGCGCGAGAGGCAAATCCCCGACCTGGGACTGCTTCCAGGGTGGGAGGCAGCGAGGGGATCGCCGCGTGCCGCGCCGGTGTCTGCTGGCATTGCCTGGCGCGGTGCCACGTGGAGCGCTGGAGCCGGAGCGGGCAGGCAGGGGTGGTTTGAGCAAACTCCAGTCTGACCTCTGGGAATTTTCCCTTCCCGGGACTTCCCAGCGAAGCGGGATGTCGCCTCACCTGCACAGGAACGGGTTTGGTTTGCCCTCGCTCCTGGTTTTTGGGCTCTTCCCAGTGGGATGAAGAGGAGGGTTTGTGCAAGAAGCTGGTTTGACTCGTCTGGGCTTGGGAATGTCGCCCGGATCTGGGGCGCGTCCGGCTCGAGGGCGTTCCTTAATTTTGAGTCAAGGTGGCAGGGAGCT